TACCTATTTATATTTTCACTGACATCCTGTCACACTTTCTTCATCCCTCATTTCTGTTTTCCTGATCTCCTACGAATTCCTTTTTTACTGACAGTTTCTTTCTACCTTGTATTTTATCACTGCTGTCTTTCTTTGGACTTGTTCTTCCTGCCTGCTCCCCCCCCCCCCCCCCCGCTTACTTGTTTTACCTTTTGTCTTTCTAATTTCCACCTATTTACGTTTTTATTGACATCCTGTTTCACTTCTCTCATTCCTTGGAGTCTTAGACCAGCAGAGACTCCTTATGTCTGAAGAAGGGTGGCTGCGCCCGAAAGCTTGCCTAAAACTTTTTTTTCCCCAGCTACTCAGTTGGTCTAATAAAAGATATCACTCAAAGAACCTTGCCTGCCTATGTCCTTAGACCAATACAGCTACAACCAAAAACCCTGTCAAAACAAATAATTTTAAAGAAAAATAAAATCAAAATAAATTTTTAATAAACATCCAGATATTTTATATATCATTTACATTATCAACATTTAGCCTACCATTGCTACTATACATGAATATACATATTTGAGTGTATACACAAATGTGCATGCACATACTTTTGTATATATAGAGAGGAATTGTAAGTTATATGATCAAATAAATGTATGTAAATCTTAAATTTGCTGTCCCATATAATTTTTATAGAACCCTAGTGATTCCATGAGTACAGTAAAACATCAATCCTCTATAAAACAGATGTATTTCTTCCAATTCAGGTTGTCCTTTTATACCAGATTTTCTAGGTGGTTTTATTTATATTGCCTTGACTGATCCAATCATTGAAGAAAAGGACTAAAAGCAAGCCTGTCATAAGCCTACAGAGGCCCAGAATCTCTGGGTATCAACTGCATAACACACCTGAGACTGCAGAAAGGGAAACCACATGTATAGGTTCCAGTATATTTTTTATGTACCTGTAGGTCTCAGAAGAGGTTTATTACTTCCAGTAAATACTGACAAGTGAAAAAGAGGGAAAACACTATTCAAGAATAGTATATAGTACACAACTCTCCCCAAAATTCCAGATTCAAGAACACTTGTTGGATTCTGATGTGTATATAATAAAAAGAAATGTTAATTCCTACCACCACTACAGCAGTCATTATATGGCTATAAACATTACATCATTTATTGCTCTTAAAGATATAACAAAAAGTAAAAATACCTGTTATATTCAGTGATTTAGACACAAATTTTTTATCAACACAATTGATGACTAGCCAATGTCTCAAACCAAATTTGTTTTCAGAGTCCTTCCAGAATAGAATCATTTTTTCATAAGTGTGACTTCCACTTCTGAATTCATATTTTTCAAATATAATTTACAAGAAAATTGCAAAAATACTATTTACATGTAACCATAATTTGGATCCAAGTGCTTTGAATGTAATAATTAATGAAATGACAGCTGCAAAACACCCCCCGCCCCACACACACACTTCCAAAAATGAAGTCACCTCACCAGACCATGCTTGACGTGGGTTATTTCGAGAGCGTCTCTTTGGAATGGAACGAAGTACTGTGGATGAGACATTGTGAAGGATTTGGCTGAATCTTGTTAGGATCCTGGAATGACCTTCTTGTCCTTCCCTTAAAAGTCCGTGTAGAGACATGGATGTATTTCTTAATCTTCACAAAATTATTCACCAAAAATAAAAGTTAGTGCTCTTCAGAATTGCACTCTTAAATCACATTGAAAAGATGCTCCTTTTTAATGCCAACTGTACTGCAGAACAAAATTCTCCTGGAATACTCCCAATCCTGGGGACATTCAAGTACTATCAAAAAGGGATGGAAAAAGTAATAGAAGTTTGAAGAAATGGAAACAGGTGCAGGTCATTTATTTGTATTGTTTGTGCTTTTCCTCAGGAAAAAATCAAGCTGCATTCTTACAATAGAGAAGATTAATAAACTCTTGCAATTCTGCCCTACTGACAGAAAATGCCAAGATAATTTCTAGCTGAAGCTACAAAATTCTTTCCACTCCAAGAACGTTTCACACCTTAGCTATGAAAGTATAACACCTTGATTATGAATACATTCTCTGTTTTCTTATCTTCATAAAAAAGTTTTCTCACTTACGTAGGTCAGATTAGCAGAAAAATCCTTCAGAAAACCCCCCCTGTTAAACAACACCTCTTTTTTTAAAACAACCTTATGCACTTTTCCCCAAAGTCAAATAGTCACATCCACTGAGACAGTTCATTTCCACAGCATTCACTATCCCACAGCTTTAGAATTGTTCATACAAGTAACCTGTCCCACTATATATTCAGATGCTTCTCATTCATGTGCAGAGATGTTCTGTAGTTGCAAGGTGGTATTTTAGGCTTTCACTGCAGAAGGGCACTTCAAGGTCCTCTTCATAAGTTTACAAATCAGCATTCATCCAGGCAGAAGTCTAATGTTGACACTCAGTGCACTTCCTATTCCTGCATCTCCCTCTTCCTCTACTCCCCTGAGGCTAGCACTGTGCTGATGCCAGCAAATGAGATGAAAATATCAATGCCAATACCAGGTTACCAACTAGGAACACTTTTTCACTAATTGACTCTAATTGAAATTTCCATTTTCCCCTCCACCCTGGAAAAAAAAACCTGCACAGAACAGAGCTGAGCCCTTCAAAGACAAAGTGAGTTCCCAGAAGATGCAAGCAAAAATATCTTAAAAGAAAACTCCCAGGAAGATTCACGTTTAATAAACAAAGAACAATAGGAAGGAAGGGAGGGGAAATGGATCCCCGCTTTCTTAAAACATACCAGGAAATTCTGCACTGTCTGCTCCCCCTGTTTCTTTCAATGCAGGAGAAAGAGGAAATTGATAATGCTGCTTTACTTGGCAGTGAACATTTTCCACCAAATATATTTAACTATGTCCTGTACGGTAACAAATCTACCACAGCTTCAACACGTATCATTACAAAAATTAAACTGAAGAATATTATTCTGTGATGTGGCCCATCAATATTTAACTCTACTACATGCTACTACTAACAGACCAACAGAAGTATTGTTTTGCAATAATGAAACTCTGCAATCTAGAAGAAAGTGTATTTATTAAAAATTGAAATTTAGGCCACAGTAGAACTTCCTAGACCTGGCAGGGGATGCCATACATATTGGCTATGCTTTTTCACCTAAAGTTGTTTTTTGAATCATTAATTCCTGCTAATACTTTGGCAACAGCATAACAAGGTGCAATACCAGCTGCCGGTGGGTGTCCCGGGGCTGGTCTAAATGTAAGCCCACCACTTGCTTCACGGTAAACTGCCTGTGTACCTTTCCTGCCACACCTGGATGATAACAACCGGAAGATGTCAATAAGGCAGGAGGCTGCCCATTTACCTGCCTTGATGCCAAGGGCCCATATACATGACTCCGACCTTCCCTTTACCATGTCCCATGCCTTGCAGATAGCATCCATGTTCCTCCAGTGCCTCACACTGGGACCCAAGCTCCAGTCTCACATGGAACTCTCACTCCCCACTGGAGTTTATAGTCCCAGTGCCTTCACACTGGGCTTTCCTTCTGTTCATCTCTCTGGACTCTCAGCCCCATCCCCATTCAGGGCTCCCAGCCCCAATCCCTGCCTTACACTGGGCTAATCCCCTTATCCCCTTGCCCCAGGAGCTTCACACATAGCTCCCTGTAGGCTGGGGGCCCCACCCCCCTGGAGCCACACATGTGACTCCTTAATGCAGCCTCAGAATTTGTTGCGAGTCTGTGCGCCATCTCTGGTCCCTTCACCTGGCCAGGATCCTGCCTCAGAACTCACAGTGAATCTGGGCCCTTGCTCTGTCCTTTGGGGTGTGCTTCCCTAGGCATTCCCCTCCATGGGGTAACCTGCAAGGCAGTGGGGGCTGAGGCTTTCTGGCACCCCATACTTGCCCTTCACTGGGGAGGCCCCAGGTGTGGCATCTCCTAGAGATTGCCCTGCCACAACCAGCCCCAACACACCATCCAACCCCAGCAGAGTATAGTTTTAGGTCATGCTCCAGGACCAGGAGCCTCCTGCCATTCCCATAGCTCTTTCCCTTACCTCCAAGATGTTGTGAGCAGCAGCTCTAGCCAGGTGGTATTCTTTTCCCGGCTGCTAGCAGCAGACTGCTGGCTTTGCTGCTCAGGGCCCGGCTCTTA